ATGAATTAACTGCTACTGAAGAGGAAGAAAAGAAACCGTTGGAAGAGGAACATGTAACTATCATCGAAACAGAAGAAGAAATCGACGAAAAACCTATTGATTCAACGACGCCGCCAAAGGAAGATGAAACTAGCGTTGATAAAGAAGACAAAGAAATCTTTGTGAAAATCACGACCGAGATAGAAGAAGAAGACGTCGAAGAACTAAAACCGAAGAAAATAATTGTCACGACAGAGACAGTTGAACAGCCTGCAGTTGAATCAGAAATTACAGGTGAGACCACAATTATTAAAGAAACAAAAACAATCATAACAACAGTTGTCGAAACGAAAAAACAAACTGATGAATTAACTGCTACTGAAGATGAAGAGAAGAAACCGTTGGAAGAGGAACATGTAACTATCATCGAAACAGAAGAAGAAATCGACGAAAAACCAATCGATTCAACGACGCCGCCAAAGGAAGATGAAACTAGCGTTGATAAAGAAGACAAAGAAATCTTTGTGAAAATCACGACCGAGAAAGAAGAAGAAGAAGACGTCGAAGAACTAAAACCGAAGAAAATAATTGTCACGACAGAGGCAGTTGAACAGCCTGCAGTTGAATCAGAAATTACAGGTGAGACCACAATTATTAAAGAAACAAAAACAATCATAACAACAGTTGTCGAAACGAAAAAACAAACTGCTACTGAAGAGGAAGAAAAGAAACCGTTGGAAGAGGAACATGTAACTATCATCGAAACAGAAGAAGAAATCGACGAAAAACCAACCGATTCAACGACGCCGCCAAAGGAAGATGAAACTAGCGTTGATAAAGAAGACAAAGAAATCTTTGTGAAAATCACGACCGAGAAAGAAGAAGAAGACGTCGAAAAACTAAAACCGAAGAAAATAATTGTCACGACAGAGACAGTTGAACAGCCTGCAGTTGAATCAGAAATTACAGGTGAGACCACAATTATTAAAGAAACAAAAACAATCATAACAACAGTTGTCGAAACGAAAAAACAAACTGATGAATTAACTGCTACGGAAGAGGAAGAAAAGAAACCGTTGGAAGAAGATCAAGTAACTATCATCGAAACAGAAGAAGAAATCGACGAAAAACCAATCGATTCAACGACGCCGCCAAAGGAAGATGAAACTAGCGTTGATAAAGAAGACAAAGAAATCTTTGTGAAAATCACGACCGAGAAAGAAGAAGAAGACGTCGAAGAACTAAAACCGAAGAAAATAATTGTCACGACAGAGACAGTTGAACAGCCTGCAGTTGAATCAGAAGTTACAGGTGAGACCACAATTATTAAAGAAACAAAAACAATCATAACAACAGTTGTCGAAACGAAAAAACAAACTGATGAATTAACTGCTACTGAAGAGGAAGAAAAGAAATCGTTGGAAGATGATCAAGTAACTATAATCGAAACAGAAGAAGAAATCGACGAAAAACCAATCGATTCAACGACGCCGCCAAAGGAAGATGAAACTAGCGTTGATAAAGAAGACAAAGAAATCTTTGTGAAAATCACGACCGAGAAGAAGAAGAAGAAGACGTCGAAGAACTAAAACCGAAAAAAATAATTGTCACGACAGAGACAGTTGAACAGCCTGCAGTTGAATCAGAAATTACAGGTGAGACCACAATTATTAAAGAAACAAAAACAATCATAACAACAGTTGTCGAAACGAAAAAACAAACTGATGAATTAACTGCTACTGAAGAGGAAGAAAAGAAACCGTTGGAAGAGGAACATGTAACTATCATCGAAACAGAAGAAGAAATCGACGAAAAACCAATCGAAGAAATAACCCCTGTTATCAATGAAACTGAATCTAACTCTACTATTTTCTTCACCGGAACTCAACTTGTAGATCATATACATGAAGTGATGAAAAATTTTACCGGGGAAGAATATAAAATAGAAGTACAAAAAAATGAGGACCCACCCAAACCATCTAATTGTTGTGATTGCGCTACTTGTGTTAGTATGATCCTTTTTAATTTCTAGTCAAAATTCTTTGTAAAACTAATTCAATTTTCTATATTTTGTTCTTAAATTTCAAGTTTTTTTTATCAATTCTTATATTAGTTACTTTAATTTAAACTATTTGTTGTCACCTCGATTTAGCAATCCAACATCAACATTGATCTTGCTGCTTTGGATGACCTCCGTCTCTTGGTGGATTCTATAAATAAGCACGCCCACCTGCAATCAGTGATTAATGTTTACGTAAGATACCCCTCCAATCCCAATCCCAATCAACGATGTGGAGGGTAGACGTTGAAATTTAATTTCTTGCATATTTAAGCGAACCAAATGAACATTTTCATTATGTTTCTTTCTCCGTTACGCGAATCTACACTGAAATTATTAAATATTATGCCATATGTTTTTCAAATTTTTTATTTGAAAAATGTTAACTAAAAGTACGAAATTTTTTTCTTGCTATGTTAATCGTTTTGTATTAAAAATTTACAAAAATTAGAGAGTTGGTGTTTTTATTTTAAGATTTTATTATTATTTGAAATTTTTTCATATAATCATAAAAAATCTGATGACGTTAACTGGCACCAGTGGCAAGAAAGTGTATTGGTAACGTGTCTTGCATTACGTTTCTTTGATCTGTTTCAGAATGGAAAGAGATGGGAAGAGATGAAAAAGAAATGGAATGCTTTCTACCATGAGCTCGAATATCGTTACTTCGCATTGAACGTATAATACTTATAAAAAAAAAGGTTAACGGCGCTAGCTCTTGGCTTGCAACAGAACAACTACAGCATTCAAAACTGCCACGATTCTATCAATCACTTGCAATTTTCAGTGAAACAACTGTGTATCTGACTGTAAGCGGTATAGCGTGATGGTAGTTACAACTCCTTCTTGTATTTTTTTGGTGATTTCATGATTTTCGCTTCAGAACAAGTAAGCTGAATTTTTTCCTTTAATTACTGTACTTATTTTACTTAAATTTAATACTTATATCTTAATCTAGATATTTTCTTTCAAGTTTACCTAGCACTTATTTTACTCCACCGAAATATTATTTCAATCTTACTTCTAGCAAGCGTACTTAATCCAATTCTAATAAAATTACCTTTGTCGTTAACAATTTTTAACTTACAAACAATTCTAATAAAATTAGTAAAAAAAATTTCATAATGATATTGCTCTGTTCAAAATTTTCTATTTTACGGCTACGTGCCAAAGATTTTTTATTTTTGAAAGTCGACACGCATGTTAATCTCTAGAAAAACTTGAGCACAAAAGAGTTTTTAGAGTTATTAATTGAAATAGGTCACCGAAACATCCCGGGAAATAAAAAATAATTATACTAAATGAACATTGTGGTACTCTGGAGATTTTTTTGTCCTGCTGACTGACATTCAAGCGGTCGCATTAACAAATTCTTCATGTTTGAAGAGAAGAACCATTCTAAACCCAAAAAACAAACCAGTTACCAACATCAATTCTTTCCCTTTAGAATAATTAACAACCGAAAACATTAAATACGAGTCTAACAGTTAATGGAGTTAACAGTTAATACTATCCTGTCAGGATTCCCCCTACGCCCAACTCACCCGTCCTTCTACTAGCACAACATATTGTTGTAATCCCTAACTCTTGCAACTACAAACACAGATGTTATAACTTCAAAGATCATTATATCTGGTGGAAACCTGACTGGGCAGGCCATACATATAGCCTAGATTTTTAGCCTAGATTCAATATTTCTTTACAATCCTCTATTTAAAGATTACAAATGTAGCAAAAATAACAATAATCAAATAATAAATAATACAGCGCAATTTGATCAATACCGCGGTTATAACAATAATTTTAACTTCAAGATAGGTACGCCGATAATGTTATCGCTTAATTTAGACACTTCTAAATTAAGTAATGGCATCAGATCCATGTAAAAAATTTCAATTGAGGCAACAATTCTTACAAGAATTTGTGATGAATTCCCAGAATCTCCATGACATAATACCACTTCGAACTTAGTCGTTTACAGTTTTGCTTTGCTTTGCGGTGATTAGATATTGGATAAAATTGATATTGAAAATCTATTGATAAAACCTAACGACAAAGTTAGATATTATGTTTTCAAAATTCTAAAAACCCTATTACTATCTGTCCTATTGAGATTTTACCTGATTTGCAAACTCTTGTTATTTTGTAATTCCGATGTTATTTATTATTCATGCATGTCTTTTTTCTTTAAAATAATAATGTTGCTAAAAATTTTCATCTGTGTAGAATAAAACACTTATTCCTTTCCTCGAAGTTGGCCACTCTTTTATTGTTATTTCAATCATTTTATCATCTATACCTCTATTTCTTTTTTTTCATACTGGTTACTTAAAATAAAGAATAATTGTAAAAAGGAGACGAATCCATGTATAGAACGATTATAAAGACTTTTTTAATTAATATTATTCATATGAGATAAGGTTCAAATTTAGCCTTACATTTACACTAACCACGGTTCTTTGTAAATAAAATACTTTAATTAAATTTTTGACCGTTTATATGCCAAACTAATTCAAACTTGGGACATTCTCGACAGTTATACTCTAAATGATTAATTTTTACACAAAATGTCATTGCTTCACTAGCTTAGCTTACGGTATTTTTTTGTTTACATTTGATTTGCTTTAAAAAAATTTTCCTGTACTGATGATTGCAAGGATGTTGTGGGCACGATTATTGAATGAAATTTAAAATGTTAATTAATCACCAATTTAATTTTGAGTACGTTAGGACCATTTCATGGTAATCTCGGAGACGGCAAAGTGGTTTTTCCAGCAATATTTATTTATAGTCAACAGTTTAATTAAAGAGACTCATAAGTTCCTCCCACGGTACAATTAAAAGTTAAACTAAATAATAAAAGCTTATAATAAAAGTTAAAAATAAAAATTTTAAACCAATTTTTACTAGAAAAACCACAAAACCTCTATAAAGTTATAAAAATATGATACATTACAAAATGTGTAACAAAATTTTAAACGTATCTGTTAAAATGATAGTTTCACTTTTAAAACAAATTATTAATTTTTAGAAACTTGCTTCCAGAGGTAACTTGCCGTTGAAAAAAATTTTCAATGTTAAAACGCTGGTAGGGCGCTTCCAGTTATATAATTCCATGATTTTTACTTCATAATCGGCGGATAGATCTATTTAGTTTTAGAAATTGAACTATAACATTAAAAATTATTAATTATTCTTTTCTTCGTTAAACGTTTTTCATTCATGTTTTTCAATTTTAAAGTCATTAACATTTAAAAATTAAAATTCTTCAAAAAACCGCTTATTTTTTAAATTTTTACATATATATATATATATATATATATATATATATATAACGCTTGTATTAAAAGAAGAATGCAAGCTTTTGAAATGCATAATGAGAACAACTATTTTTATTTCGTTGTTGTTGTAATTATTATTATATTGTTGTTTGTTGATGATGGTTGTGATGATGATGATCGTCATCATAGTTAACAAGATTAACAGTATAACATACTTAAAATACATTGACAGAAATGACATGAATGTTTATTGTACTGCGTATATATGATGGCAGTATGTATGTATGCGTATATGTATGTTAGTATGTATGTGTGTCTGCGTCTCTTTATGTGTACATGTTTGTATTCGAGATTTTAGTAAGAAAAGAAAAACACAACAGTTGCTTTTATTTGACATCATCAAAAGATGAAAAGTGACGAAATTAAAATTTGTTAAACGTCAATTTTTTAAAAAGTTCAGATTTTAAACAAACAAATATAACAAAATATCGATCGATAAAAAATAATTATCACGAAACATGAATATTTAGTAAGGACAGGTCACAGCATATCATAATGACTAAATCAACATACCAAATAGAAATTATTCATGCATGCATATATACAAAGTAAATCAGGAAATATCCAAAAATTATATAACCAAAATAAGAAACTAGAAACCAGTCAAAATTTTACAAATAAATAAATAGACATTAAAAAGATTGTTCAAAAATGGTAAAATTTAACGCGACGACAAAAAAAATTGTAGTTTGTTTTGTACGTGTTGTGTGGTGCTAAGAAGCGAAAACAAACATACCACAAAAAAAAAATATTAAAAAGTCGCAAGAATAGTAGTCAGTCACCTACCTACAATTAAATTACTCTCAGGGCCCTAGCTTACCTGTAATGATAACTCAACTCATTTATTTTACACATTTTAACGTTTTAATTTTACTTGAAGCTTTTAATTTATGTTAATGTTAATATTTTACTTGAAACTTTTTAACTAATGTTAAGCCCTAGCCTACCTACAATTGTTCAACTCATCTCAATCCCTAACTTACCTATGAATTAAATTAAGTCCGGTAAAGAAAATAGAAAGTTGAAGAGAAACATAACAACAACGACACCGAAGGAATGGATGTTGTGTATGTGTGTGTTGTATTTATGTGTGTGCGTGTATGTAAATGTGCGCGCGCGTACCCTCCAAAAACTTCTTCATCCACTACGGATGAACCTCCATTGCACCGACCATCATCTGACACGCACC